TATTGTGAAGCAATATAACAAGTTATGGAGACGTATTTAAAAAAAACTATATCAATTCTCAATTAATATGTTTAAAAAAATCATAATTGATAAAATAAAGTTTTTTTGTTTTTTAGAATTTTTAGATCTGCATTGGAAATGGGCTTTCACGTAATCAAGCATCGTAAGTTTTTTTATACTGGAAAATTCCAATGCGGATCCAGGTCATTCAAGAAAACAGCTTGTTTCAAACATTCATCATCAAAATCAGAAATATGTCATTTCAATTTGCTATTAGTATAAATAATGGTCATCTGTACTAATCATTATTACCTGGGAAATCAATACAAAATATTTATATTGCAATTTAAGTAGTGCATTTGATTTCTATTTTGTTCGCAACATTACCAGAATACTGCATAACATTTTATAGCAACTGTGTTAAACATAATCACGCCTTGCGCTATCGCGCTTCATAATAAACAAATGTTTTACATAATAAGTCATTTTTACTTATAACAAAACAGAAAAGTTTAGTCAAACTGTAAGCATAGGCGCAGAACACCGATTTTTTGTTGGCCTATAGTTGGGTCGGGCTGTTAATCAGTATGGACATGTATGAAAGTGCGCACATTACACCGATTTGGTATCGGCCGATTCTACATACAAATTAGAATCGGGCCCAACAATCGGCCAACTAAAAGTCGGTGGTCTGCGCCTAGGCTAAAAACCTATACAGGGTGGAAACGTTATGTGATCTCACTCGATTATTTCTAAACTATACAAGATATCAAAAAACTGATTACTGATTCTGAAAGTGCTTCACAAGCTCTTTCAAACGGTACCAATAATAGGTTATAGAATAAACTGGACCTATGCGAAAATTCAATGTTTCCAGCTTCCATACATTTAGTAAAATTAAAATTACATAATATTAAAAACTATACAAGATATTCAAAAACTGGTTACTGATCCTGAAAGTGCTTCACGAGCTCTATCCAACGGTACCAATAAAATAATAGGTTACAAAATAAACTGGATCCATTCGAAAATTCAATGTTTCCAGCTTCAGTTTTTCGATATCTTGTATAGTTTAGAAATAATCGAATGAGATCACTTATCGTTTCCACCCTGTATACCTTGCGATTTAGTTACGACATTTATGTGTTTATTGATTTACTGTATTTTCGAATCTATCCTTCACTAGAACTGTCTCGGAATGTATATGAAATGGATGGGAACGATTACAGAAATCATTTTATGCAGTAGCCTCGCGTAGACAATCGTATGACATTGAATTATAATTCAACAGTACACTCAGAGTCAAATAGTTCGGAGACCCAAAGTAGCCAAAAACTTCGCAACACGTCTTCATTACAATGAGGGCTATCGTTTTAGCGCTCACCAGTTAGCGCCACTGTAGAGTGAGGTCCTGTGACTTGCTAGTAGCGAAGACAGTGGCGCCAACTTGTGAGCGCTAAAGTGGTAGGAGGACTATCGCATTTGCACTCATCAAGATGGCGCCACTGTAGAGTAAGGTCCTGTCGATCGCCAGGGGTGCCAACTGTTAAGTATAAAAACGATAGCCCTCATTGGAATAAGGTTGTGTTGTCAACTTTTTGGCCACTTTGGGTGTCACGAACCATTTGACGCTGACTATACGATAGTTTAGATACATTGAATGTGCGCTGTATAGACGTTTTCGTATAAATATCCGGGTGTATCTGTGACGTAGCCGGTTAGAAACCGGTTAGAACCGGATAGGCACCCAGCAGCCGGTCTGTTCGTCGCGACGGTAATAATGTGGCCGGTTATCCGGGAACACTGTCACCGCCGGGAATGGATGCTGCTGTATAAATTTCAACGTTACGCGGATCTGTAAAACAAACAAAATATTATGAATGAACAAGTTTTTCTCCCTTTTTCATAATATCATTATTTCATCTCAATCAGTTCAGTGGTTTAAGTGTGATAGAATAACAAACATCTATGGGTTGTAAGTCGCTTACTAGGAAGGCTCCTAGGAGGTACATAGCTTGAGCTTTCAAGGTCACCCAAGCGGGATGGAGCGTGCTAAGCTCAGTTTTTTTACGTAATCGAATCAGAAAAAGGAGAGCCAAAGTAATCGTAAAAGCTCGCAAAATTGCCAATCTTATAATGTGGTATAATGTGGTAATGAGTATGGCACATAAGTCGTTCAACGGACAGAAAAATGTAGTGTATCAACCATCTGGTAAAGTTTAGGAGAACCATCTGTATGTATGTAGTGTAGGACTAGTCATGGAAATGCTTGGAGAATTTCGAAGGGCAGTTGAACGGCCTGACGCGCAGCTTGCTCCCGCCAAGGCATTGTCGCCTCTATATCTATGTACATTGTGCACAAAGTGCGGCGGCTCCACGGCCCAATGAGAACCTATCAACATTGTGCACAAAGTGCGGCGACTTCACGACCCACCGCGCAGCATACTCCCGCCAGGCCACTCTCGCATCTATATCTACGTACATTATGCATAAAATGCGGCGGCTCCACGAACCAACACGCCCTCACCCCTGCCAGGCCATTGTCGCCTCTATATCTACGTACGACAGCACATCAGGCTATACATTTTCGTTGCAAAGTCGCCCCTATCGTAACTAAGTAAGATACCACAGTGTTTACGTTGACGTGCTGTCGACTGTACATTGTGCACAAGGAGCTTGAAACGAAGGATATGTCGTAATAGAACTGCCCGAGGCGCAGCATTTAAACGAAGGATACGTCATAGCTGAACGGCCCGACGCGCAGCATAGTCTCGGCAGGCCATTGTCGTCTCTATAACTACGTACATTGTGCACAAAGTGCGGCGGCTCCACGGCGGGCGTGGTGCTGAGGCTCTGCAGGATGAAGTCGTCGGACTGCTCCAGCCACAGGTCCACGCCGCGTAGTGGGTCGTAGTTGAATGGACCGATGCGAAGCATGCCCACGCCGTTGTCGTATATGTCCAGGACCTGCCAACGAAATACACTGTGTTATAGATGATCCCCATATTATAAATTTGTTTCTTTGCTAAGTTCTCAAATGAAATGGATTGATTCTATTGGTCAAATGCCACAGCATTCCATAAGGGACCGAAGTTCTTCCAATAACAAATTAACCTTCCATACACATTGGACATCAGCGATCAGTGACGTCAATGATGAATTTGATGTTGGTTGGAAAAGTAGTTGTGTTTAGGTATGTCCACTCCAACCCGCCCCGTCCTAATGACAGTACAAACTAGCAATAGTTGTGCAATCTCCACAATTGCGATTTTCACAAAAAGATCGGTAATAAGCACGTCGTCTTCAACTCACAGCAGCACGCTAAAGATCGACCACTACTGTTAGTCGGTGGAATGGTAATGACTAACCTAATTAACTAATGTTTTACCTGTGTGGTATGCGGCCCCCCAGTGATCATTCTGGCCCCCCTCAATGGCATCTCTGGCCCTTTGTCCGGGAAGGTGGCAGGGAACAGGTCTCCAGCCCTTATGTCCACGCCGACTCCAGTCACTAAAGGTGTGGGGGGCCCGCCGCCTAGACCCGTGTGCTTATTACCGATCTTAGCAACCGGTTGCTGTTTTCGCTTGTACAATAGCAACGCGACTGCGACTATTTAGTAGTTGCCGACTGCATTACGATTATTATGTTACACAATCTTCAGCTCGCCACAGCAGGCCATCGGGAGGTCTGCTTCTACTGTTAGCCGGTGGAATGATAGTGACTAAACTAAAACCGCCTTATCATTAGGGCGTCAGAAGCGCGACAGCAGCGCGGCAGCGGCGTTTTTATAATGTGAAGGCAGGCATCTGCTGTCATATAGTATGAAATTATCGCTTGTCGCGCTGTTAGAGTCGCCTAAATGTGACAGCGCTTTAATTATTACCTGTGTGGTGTGCGGCCCCCCAGTGATCATCCTGGCCCCCCTCAATGGCATCTCTGGCCCTTTGTCCGGGAAGGTGGCGGGGAACAGGTCTCCAGCCCTTATGTCCACGCCGACTCCCGTCACTAAAGGTGTGGGGGGCCCGCCGCCTAGACCCGTGTTCAGCTCACAGCAACAGGCCATTGTGAGGTCCACTTCTACTGTTAGCCGGTGGAATGATACTGGAATGATTGAGAAAAACAGTTTTATTAACGATGTGAATAGGATGTAATGACATAAAACGTAAGAAGTATTGCATTGATTTACAAACGTCAATAAAATGCTGATTCTTATTATTTTTACTTAATTATTATAATCCCGGGGTTATCCCGGCTAGCACATATATATGTATACAATACAATCCCGTTATCCCGAGATTAGAAGAAAGTTTCGGGATCGAATTCTCTAGTTGTCACATAAGTATAACGAATATTTTTTTTAATAAACGATTGACAGGGCTTTCAGCAATGGAAACGAATTGTGGGCATGTCCAGTTTTTTTGAATTTCGAAGTTATCTATGGTAAAATAATGTTTATCTATCTCACTGGACTATTCCCACCTATCTTTCCCACCACTGCAACTCCTGTGTAGCCAGGATCTACAGCTTGACCGCCAATAAAAATCCAACCAGTGTAGGTCAAGTTTATCTATCTAAATAAGTAATAAAATAAAATAAATTTTACTCAAAGTCAAAGTCAAAATTTATTTATTTGTTTGGACTAATAAATAGTTCTTACAAATCGTCATTTTGCTCTTAAGGAGCCTCTACATGTCTCATAATCTTTTTACCCTACCAGCGCTTCGAGACCAACATTTGGCAAGTGCTGAGAAGAAGCGCCGCAACAAACTCAGTCACCACTGTCTGCCGGTTAATATAAATAAATAGAAATAGTAGTAGTAGGTACATTCGATTCAGGAGCAGTTCACTGAATTTACCATGCATTCTTGTATGGTGTATCTTATAAGAATGGACTCTGTTGGAATATCTGCTTGTTAACTAAGTAAGTAATTTACACCATTCCAATAGTCATTTAGTTCGCAATAAAGAATTAGTATCAGACACGCGTAACAATAGATTCCGACCGGCCCACGCGCCGCTAACACTCTGGCAGCGAGACAAGTGTTTATTGCCGACCTCTGCGTCATTCTAAATTATTTATTTCCGAGTTCACGCGGCGGCGTTTTGGGCAATCACGGCTGCATTTATTAAATTGACTTTGGTTTATTGTGAGGTATTGCAAGCATCGTTAAGGTCAAGAAGTTTGTGTACCTAATTACTTTAGATCTGCTGATAATGAACACTTACACTAGTCTGAATAGTGAACGGTCAGTGAACCTGCTTCCCTTTTCTATACTATCCGCATTCGCTATGGCATTGACTGAATGAGGATTTATAGAAGAGAAGTTCCTTCTCACGATGACGGATGGGACGAGTCAATGTGGAAAAGTTGAATAACCAAGCTGTTGCAATCGAGCTATCATGGCCGTCATCGCTTTCAACCATCCAGACCCGTCTAGGTGGACTAACACTATTGCTCCTGTCGAATCTTCTGGTAAGACACGTACACATGATACTAGCAAACAGCTCATCCGAGTAGATCCGAGCTCGATCCTGTCTTCAGGGTAGCTAACAGCTAGCTGTTGTACCCACGCCATCATGGCCGCCGCCATCTCATCAAACTAGAGCTATTACTCCTGGATGTATTCAGATCCGTAGCTAATGGACCCGTCAACGGGACTATTCCCACCTCTCGTTCCCACCACTGCAACTCCTGTGTAGCCAGGATCTACAGCTTGACCGCCACAAAAACCCAACCAATGAAGGTCAAGTTTGTCCCGGGGGAAAGTTAAACTGTCATTGGACCCGCAACGAAATTAATCAGAAGAACATAGGAGGAGTTCGAAATTAAGGTTCGACTTCCCTCCATTGCAAAGCGGATGACAGGTGACAAACAAAGGTTTAAAACCTTTAAGAAAAAGATTATGCACCACGGACAATAAATTAAATTAAGGGGGCCTATCTTATGAGCAATTAGCAACTACCTGCCAATAATATTTTTCACAAAATCGCTTAAAAGCACGGAAGTTTTTCCTTGTCGCGACAAGATCGGTGTAATAAATTGCGGAAACAGATGTATGTTGTATTGAATTAAGCATTAATGGACCCGTCAGTGGTCAGTGAACCCGCCGACGAGCTGCAGCTCGATCCTGCCTTCAGGGTAGCCGACAGCTAACTGCTGCACCCGGGCTACCATGGCCATCGCCATCTCCTCAAAGCTATTGCTCCTGGATGTATTCAGACCTGCACCTGCAGGCCGCTACCAACCGTGCGATGTGGAAGTCATTGGGGGAGGCCTTTGTTCAGCAGTGGACGTCCTGTGGCTGAAATGATGATGATGAGAACACTTACACATGATACTGGCGAACAGCTCATCCGAGTAGCGGCGCGGGTCATGGCCACCACCGCCTCCTCAAACAAGATCTATTGCTCCTGGATGTATTCAGATCCGCAGCTAATGGACACTTACACATGATACTAGCGAACAGCTCATCCGAGCAACGGCGCGGATCAGTGAACCCGCCGACGAGCTGCAGCTCGATCCTGCCCTCAGGGCAGCCCACAGCCAGCTTAAACCCTCGCCACCAATTCCGCCGCCGTCTCCTCAAACCAGAGCTATTGCTTCTGATCCTGGATCTATTCCTATTCGCTGCTAATGAACACTTACACATGATACTGGCGAACAGCTCGTCGGAGTAGCGGCGCGGGTCAGTGAACCCGCCGACGAGCTGCAGCTCGATCCTGCCCTCAGGGTAGCCGACAGCTAACTGCTGCACCCGCGCTACCATGGCCGCCGCAGCCTCCTCTGTACCAGATCCGTCTAGGTGGGCCAGCGCTATCGCTCCTGATCCTGAAATGAACAGGAAAACCCTTTATTCATTTGTTTTAAGACAACTAACAAGATATACATAAGTTTTACATTAGTATTGCAATCAGATAAAGTTGGTAATATCAACGGCATTTTATTGTAAAGTGATAAGTTTAATTTTTACCTGAATGTCTGACGACGACTATAATACATGATGTGGCGTCATCTGAACCAATGATGTTGACGTTTTCTGGAAAGACAAAAATGTGTCGTTAGTTTTGTAACATTGTTATAATTTGATCATCTTTACAAAAATATGTACTATCGGCAACAGTGTTAACTGCCCATTGCCAGTCATGTCATCTCGTTCTATCGCAAAAAATCACCATTTGATGAGAGCGAGATCAAAAACGGAAATGGATAGTTAACAGTGTGGCCGTGTGTACTAGACAGACACATTAACCAAGATCTACAGCTTGATGAACAATAAGCCCAACCTGCTAAGGCTGAACTAGTCAACGGGGAAAGTGAAATTATCATAAGAACTGCAAACGTAGCTGTGAATGTGCTTATCTATAGTGCAGGGAACTCTTGCCCAGGGCGAGAAGCTGTGTATACCCATGAGTAGGGATTGTTAATTTTCATAACCCCTAGGTGGACCGACGATCTGGTGGAGGTCTAGGAAAGCAGGTACCTCGTTATGGAAATCCTTGGGAGTGACACGACGCGCGCAACCGCCGCTAGCAGCTGCGCCGCCGCGTCCCTGTAGCCGGGGCGGCTGACAACAGCCCGTGCGTCAATCTACTCACTGTCGTGCGGCACGACGGCCGCTAGCTCTCGCTGGCCGACGTACAATAGGCCTGGAGGCGGCACGACGCGCGCCACCGCCGCTAGTAGCTGCGCCGCCGCGTCCTGTAGCCAGATGCTAGAGCGGCAAGCCTTCACATCTACTACTCACTGTCGTGCGGCACGACGGCCGCTAGCTCTCGCTGGCCGACGTACAGCAGGCCTGGAGGTGGCACCACTCGCGCGACGGCCGCTAGCAGCCGCTCGCCGCGTCCCTGCAGCCGGGTAGGTACTAGAGTGACGCGTCCGTGTCATACTACTCACTGTCGTGCGGCACCACCGCCGCTAGCTCTCGCTGGCCGACGTATAGCAAGCCTGGAGATGGCACCACTCGCGCGACGGCCGCTAGTAGCTGGGCCGCCGCGTCCCTGTAGCCGGGGTGGCTGGCGAGGAGTGCTTTTATCCACACTACTCACTGTCATGTGGCACAACGGCCGCTAGCTCTCGCTGCCCGACGTACAGCAGGCCTGGAGGCGGCACCACTCGCGCGACGGCCGCTAGTAGCTGGGCCGCCGCGTCCCTGTAGCCGGGGTGGCTGACAGCAGCCCGTGCGTCAAACTACTCACTGTCATGCGGCACCACCGCCGCTAGCTCTCGCTGGCCGACGTACAGCAGGCCTGGAGGCGGCACCACTCGCGCGACGGCCGCCAGTAGCTGGGCCGTCGCGTCCCTGTAGCCGGGGTGGCTGGCGAGGAGCGCTCATTGCCTCACTACTCACTGTCGTGCGGCACCACGGCCGCTAGTTCTCGCTGGCCGACCTACAGCAGGCCTGGAGGCGGCACCACTCGCGCGACGGCCGCCAGTAGCTGGGCCGTCGCGTCCCTGTAGCCAGGTGCTAGAGCTGCAAGCCCTCACATCTACTACGAGCGCTCGTGTCCCCACTACTCACTGTCATGCGGCACGACGGCCGCTAGCTCTCGCTGGCCGACGTAGAGCAGGCCTGGAGGCGGCACCACTCGCGCGACGGCCGCCAGTAGCTGGGCCGCCGCGTCCCTGTAGCCTGGATGGCTGGCGAGGAGCGCGCGCACCGACGTCGGGCATTCGTCGGCCAGCACGCCGTTCAGCACCACCACCATGTTGACTCTGCGGAAGAAACAAACACTGTGTTAAAGAGTTAGTAGTAGAATCGCAACCACACTTTGGTTTACTTCTTAGCACGCTACCACCTCTAAGTTATGGAAAAGAAAATAGACCGTGCGCTGATACTCTAAATGTATGTGTAAACCCAACAATACGTAAAAACCATAGGTACATACGTAACGACAGAAATAACACATCAAGGTCCAATATAAAGCCGAATAACTAAAACGAACACCCAGTTCGATTTTTTCAAGTATGTAGATTATAGGTACAAACAAAAAAGACGTGAAGGAAAATAAAGGAGTTCGCTGAGTGACGCTCCTGCTCAATTGTACAGCGTGGTAATGTATAGGTATAATTAACATGAGTATACCTAACGACAGAAATAACACATCAAGGTCAATATAAAGCAGAATAACTAAAACGAACACCCATTTCGATTTTTTCGAGTAGGTACAAACAAATAAAACGTGAAAATAAAAGAGTTCGCTGAGTGACGCTCCTGCTCAATTGTACAGCGGTAAGTATACGAGGGCGGCACTGAAAATTTCGGGAATCAAGGAAGTGAAACAACATTACTATTTAAAAAATGTATTTATTGCTTTTTAAAGTATTCTCCGCGAAATTTGACACATTTTTCCATACACGAAACCAATCATTGAAGCAACCATTGCATTCGGAAGTTTGGGTCTCCAAAATGGCCGTTTTGTAGGCTTCCACAGCTTTTTCAGGTGATGAAAATCTCTGACCACGCAATTTATTCTTTATTTTAGGGAAAGTATAGAAATCATTAGGGCTTCGGTCGGGGCTGTACGGCGGATGGACTAATAATTCTATGTTTTCTTGGTCTAAAAACTATTTTGTTCAGTGCGCGGTGTGAGAACTCGCATTGTCGTGATGGAGGATGATGCGGCGGTTGCAGTTCTCTTTACGGAGTTCAGAAACGACCTGTGGCAAACAAATGCTAGCATACTAATCTGCATTAACCGTTCTTTGTCCCCCAAGAGGAATAGTCGCAACATGGCCGGTTTTGGAGACAAACGTGGCCACCATTTTTTTTGCAACACTCCGTGAACGAACAATTTTTGTTGGCTTTAATTCATTTTCGAACACCCAAACTCGTGACTGGTTTTTTGTTTCGGGTTCGTACGCGTATATCCATGATTCGTCACCTGATACGATGTTGTATACAGCATTTGAGGATCCTGCATGTAATCTCCCGAGAGTTCTGACGCACCAAGTAACGCGAGCCGCTTTTTGCTCTTCACAGAGCGAATGCGGTATCCATCGGGAAAACAACTTTTTTACACCTAATTGTTCATGCAAGATTATTTGTATTAGACTCATGCTAATGTCTAAAGTTGCCTGAATTTCGCGGTATATCACATGTCGATCTTCTTCAATCAGCTTACGCACAGCATCAACGTTTTCTTAGGTGACTGCAGTTTTTGGACGACCTTGACGGGGATCATCACTGAGCTTGACACGTCCACGTTGAAATTCAGGAAACCAGCGATAAATTGTGGTTTTGGATGGGGCTTCATTACCAAATGCAGAAATCATCCGGTCAACACACTGTTTTTGTGTTAAAACACTTCAAAAGTCATAATAAATCATCGCTCTTGAATTTTCTCGAGTCAATTCCATTTTCTCAACGACTAAACAAGTTTGACAAGACCTTGTGATACGACCGAGAATCTTTTTTAAAATAAATAAATGGTATACGATTTTTAAAACCCTGGAGTTTGCAATTAAATAGATTTTAATATGACTGGAACAGTGGAAATATTCCATTCCCGATACTTTTAGTGCAGCCCTCGTAATGTATTCACGAGTCGCGGGGTCGCGAGCTGACACGGCGCCCATTTACACGGGTCCCGCGCTTACAATGCGCCCGCGCGTGGAAAATATTCAATAGGTACGCTACCGACTCGCCACGCCACGCCAACGAAATTGGAAGGATGATACATCAAAACAAGAAAACTTAAAAACACCGGATGCATCGAGGTAAACGGTTCTTACTTACATACAGAAAATGTACATTAAAGTTTTGACAGTACATAAGCTAACACAAAGTACTAAGAGAAGAGTAAGAGCTAATTAACAAGTCAGTTAACAATCTTATTATCAACAAAAACTATTAATTAATAGGTAGGTACAATGATGAAAAACTTACGGCGATATTTGAATTGAAGAAAACAAATAGAAATAAAGACAGAAGAGTCTTAGATAGGTTACTTCCATTTTAGAACAATTATACATATTTCTTAGCTACGCTACTAAGTTACTACTAGAGTACAAACACAATTTTACTAAAAATGAAACGTAACTAGATTATTTATAGCAAAGGTAACAATCGGAATTGATAGGAAATCAATCTTGTCATCGACATTGACGACTACATAATTCCAATAACTCTACATATTAGCATATTAGAATTGGATGATTCAAAGACTCATACGACAAGTATGATGACGAATGATAACTATAAAACATAGTGTAACCATAAAATCAAACAGGAAAGTAATTTATTGTCTTTTATAAGATTTACTTGAAGTCAACTCAGATCTTTTACGACTTAGGACGAGCAGAAATCTTAAATATATTACCTACTGTAATAATTATAAGAAGTAAGAAGATAAAAGAAAAACAAAATATACCTACTATGTAAAAAGTACTTATTCAAAATTCTCATGTCACACGTGTTTGTATCTCTATAAACTCCTCCGAAACGGCTCGACCGATTCTTATGAAATATTGTGTGTATATTCCGAGGGTCTGGGAATAGGAAATACTGTTTTTCATTCCACCAGGTAATAAGGGGTTTCCACGCATACGAAGTCGCGGGCACAGTTACTAAAGTAATAAAAAAATAAACAGTGTTAACTCGAACGTATAAACAACACGACATTAACAAGTCTGATTTTCATATATCACGCCCTTGATAATATATTATTACTGATCGGCTCTGACAGAATCGTTAAATCACAAATAATGACTCTTTATTGGAAATTTTAATTGGTCTCCATTGCAGAACTTGTTTACCACCACTGAGTAAAGTGAGCTAATATCTTACTAACTACATAACACCTATGTTGATAAGTTTAAATTGGAATATACTCTACATTTATTGACACTTCTTAACATATGGAACAACTTAGATAATAACTTCGTAAAACCTATTAAGAAATCAAATATTCATAGTTCTCAGTCATCCACAACCAGCCTTAGATAACACGAATTAATTAAATGGGGACTTACACCTTTATTGATAATAAAGATTCAAGTATTTGTGTAAATATGGGACAGTGTTTATTGGTTCATTCGTCAACAAATCAGACTATATTTTTACATACTGTAAATATGAAAATTTGCCGGAGCAAAATAAAAGAATTAAATATTTAAATTGACAACAATTTAATTGTGGGTTAGACACAAATATTTAAAAAGAAAAATTAAGGGATGGGTCGTTGGGCCGTTTGGTTGGTACTGATTAAAAATACTTAAGATTACTAGCGCGCTAGTCGCCACCACTCGGCTCAACCCCCTCCGCACCCGTCGGGCGCAGCAAGCGTCTGGCACTGCGGGGGGGGTTGAGCCGAGTGGTGGCGACTAGCGCGCTAGTAATCTTAAGTATTTTTAATCAGTACCAACCAAACGGCCCAACGACCCATCCCTTAATTTTTCTTTTTAAATATTTGTGTCTAACCCACAATTAAATTGTTGTCAATTTAAATATTTAATTCTTTTATTTTGTTACAATGATTACATTTTACCAAAAAGTAAATTCCTAAATAAGTTTACCATTGTGATGTATTATCGATGGATTCTGTTGTGTTAACTATTTTTAGTTCACTTTGTGAAGGTAGATGATATAATAATTACGATGATTACATTTTACCAAAATGTTACCTTCTAAATAGATTTACCATTGTAATGAAATACCGTTGGATTTTGCTGTGTTCACATTTGCTCCATCCTCGAGAGTGATGGATTATTGTTTTTAATATTATGTATTGTGCTGTTGTATAATATAATTTTTTATTGTACAACAGGAGGTGTATGGTACCGGCTGCTCTGTTGGCACCGGCTATCAGGTGTTTGGCACCGGCTGTCCCGCAGTGCCAGACGCTTGCTGCGCCCGACGGGTGCGGAGGGGGTTGAGCCGAGTGGTGGCGACTAGCGCGCTAGTAATCTTAAGTATTTTTAATCAGTACCAACCAAACGGCCCAACGACCCATCCCTTAATTTTTCTTTTTAAATATTTGTGTCTAACCCACAATTAAATTGTTGTCAATTTAAAATATTTATTTTTTTTTTTTGCTCCGGCAAATTTTCATATTTACAATACATAAGACACAGTGTTTAATTTATTGAAAACGATACACGAATCACATAAGAGAGGATTGTTAAGTGAACCACAAATGTTAAAGATTCAAAAAAATATTTTCCATTGCAGAATATAATCGCACACATTGCATGAGCATAATCCCAGCGGTTTTAAATGTCAAAACTTCTATCTGAAATTGGCTAAAGATAATTTCCAAGCACAGAGAGATGTGATGCAACCCAGTGTGGCTGCCGTGGTTTGTTAGTCAAAACAAAAAGAGGACAAAAGAATTTTACAAAAGTGAACACCAGACGCGTCCTTGTACAAACGAGACATGATTAATGATGGTGTAAGGGTACCTGCTAAGAAATTGAGACGCGAGCGCAACCGGCCACCAGTATTGGACAAAAGGCTGGATCGATAGAGAACTCGAAATTGGTAAACCACTTACCTAAATATGGCAATGCAGAATTTTACTAAAAGAAAAAGAATATTTTTTAAGATAACGATTTATTTTGAAAAGAGTAAGAAGGTAATGATGACCAAATGGTACATTGTTGGTTCAATAACGTGTTGCGACTTTTTGGCTACTTTGGCTCATACGAACTATTTGACGCTGACGTACTATGTGCCTTTTTTTCAGAGAATTTTCTTTTTAACATTTTGGCGGGAT